TGAAATTGGCTCTACTAATCGTGGCCATGGCCGCCACATCACTCGCGGCCCGGCCCGGGCCCGTGGGCTATTGGGGCAATTACGTGCCACCTGGAGGCTGGTACGGTGGCGGTAATTACATGCCACCTGGTGGAGCTGGAGGCGGGTATGGGTACGGGTCCGGGTCCGGTGGCGGTTATCAGGGGCCACCTAGATCTGGGTATGGGTACGGGTCTGGGTCTGGTGGTGGTTATCAGGGGGCACCTGGATCCGGGTATGGGTACGGGTACGGGTACGGTTCCGGTGGTGGTTATCAGGGGCCACCTGGATCCGGGTCTGGGTACGGGTACGGATACGGGGTTACTTTTAAGTGCCCCGAGGAAAGCAAGTGTCCGAACAAGACCGAGCAGACGTGTCCGAAAAAATGCTTCACCTCTCATCGCGGCCAGGGAAAAGGCTACACATACGGCGGAGGAGGAGGCGGATGTAACTTTAAGTGCGACGCCAATTGTACCATCACTTGTAAATGAAGATATGATTATATATATATAGGTATATGTATATGAAGAAATGATGAGCACAACCAATAAGGACTATTAGCCATATACACAATATGTAAGTTTATCAACATCATCATCAGCATATGTATGTAGCTTGCTAGTTGGGTAATATACTTGTTATATATGACGACTATATATCGTAGCTCTTGATAGTTACGCTACTGCCGTATGTATAAAAGAACCTTTTAGTATCTTAATTGATGGCAAAAATTCATAGTTGGTCATATAATTTGGTAAAAGTCTAAAAATTCATCACGTTATTGACCACTTTTTAATTGGATTCAATAATTTAACAATTTAATTAATTTTAGTTTTCTTTTTATCTGCACCCTGAATAAAAACATTAGGTGCATGACTTAACAGTTTTTTAATGTGACATGACGCGATTATGGTTTACATGGTTGGAATAGAAAAGACAAAAATAATATAAAGATTCCAAATTATTATTATTATTATTATTATTATTATTATTATTATTATTATTATTATTATTATTATTATTTTAATTTTATCTAGTTGTATGTGTCAATTGGCAGTGAGGGTGTCACGTCATACTGAAAAAATGTAAATGGATATGACTGGGTGTCAAGTCACGCCACGTCACATTTTTATCCACGGTGTGGATAAAAATAGACCAAAATTTATTAAATTGCTAAATTATTGGACTCAGTTTGAAAGCGATCAATGACGGGGTCGATTTTTGTTTCTTATAGCAAGAGAACACTTTGTTACAACTATGTAGCAATGGCGTGTATCTTTGCTGCATACCAACACCACATGTGGCTTCAAAATCTTGACCTCCAAATCATCCGAAGCTGTAGCAACAAGAAATGAAAACGCAGCTTCCAACTGAGCATGAGGTTTAATTTGTACAAACCAAAATCATTATCTTCTGGCAAACAAGCAGTGAATGTATTATATAAACTGTAATTGGAGTGAAGAAACCAAGCTCTCACGCCTTGAAACCATACAAGTCGTAGACACAATTATTTTGGTTTGACTACCTCAATCTTTCAAATAAATTTTTTGTTTCTCAGGTAGCTCGAATTTCATGATGATTAGCGGTGACCTTATTGTTAGCTACGGTGTATTTTGCCGTCCTCCCATCCAAACCGATTCTATTTTGGAAAAAATATGAAAATGAGCTTTGGTAACGTGCGAGATGGCTATTTGCATGAAAAGGAGTTTAATAATTAGTTACAACGAGTTTATAGCACTAGGCCTCCAGGTCCAGTTTTAACAATTAGTTACAGAGTTTACTCTTTTGTTTACTCATCTATCTTGTACCAATAAATTTACTCATCCATCTTTTGTTTACTAAATTGCTTGTACCAATAAATTTACTCATCTATCTTGTACCTTGTACCAATGCAATACGTCAAATTGCTCCCATGTGGGTTTATACAGCTTCAGGGTTTAGAGTTAACATAAATATACTACCGAATCAGAATCAAAATATTGTAAAGGCTCTTATTTTTAAAATTTATCTTTCTCCCTAAAACATATATTTATTTTTATTTTTTTATAA